CGGCTGTGGGATGTAAAAACAGCTGTGGAAGGAGGGAGGGGGGTAAAATCGTCTCCTTCTCTGCTCCTACCCACCACCACCCCAAAATGAAAGCTTATATAACTGACATTTAACAACTGTACGTAAGCAAGCAAACCTGATTGCTGACATTCAGGTATTAGTGTAGGAGGATAGAAAGCTCAAAGAGGACTGCAAAGTTCAAAAAAATGCAAAGCACAAACTTCTTGATGCTGTTGGGAATAGTTGCATTAGTTACAATATTGCATTAGTTACTGCAATAGTTACAGTAGGAGGAGAAACCCTTTGAAGGCGCATATTACAATATAATTGTTCTATTATTGAAGGACATGCTTAAATGTTACATTGCAAATGGGCCTCTCGGAATGTCTAGCTTGGGCAGATAGAGATAAGGAACAAGGATTTCTTGTAATACCAGGATGAGGGAGGTTGCAGGAAGGAGGGAGAGAAGACCAAGACCTTATATGGTAATAGGAACATTATAAGTTTCCATTTCCCAGAAATCAGGTGACTTACAAGAAATCAGGTGACTTACAAGAGATCAGGTGGTATTCTATTTTGCAAATCTATATAAAGGGGCGCACCCTGACTACTGTGTACAGGTTGTGTACTGATCGCCCTGTGCCTTTGTTCTGCATATGCACTTCAAATAAAAAATCCTGTTAATAACCTGCAAGAGCGTTTTGCCGCTTTGTGTGAATCTGTGCTTCAGGGACCCAAATAGCAGATATGTGTGGTCCTTCACCTTCATCTCCCTTCACCTTTCAATTCTGACTCTAACTAAGGATAAAGATACATATAGTAAAGCCATGGTTTTCCCAGTAGTGAAGTATGGAAGTGAGAGCTGGACCATAAAGAAGGCTGATCACCAAAGAATGGATGCTTTTGAATTATGGTGCTGGAGGAGACTCTTGAGAGCCCCATGGACTGCAAGAAGATCAAACGCATCCATTTTGAAGGAAATCAGCCCTGAGTGCTCACTGGAAGGACAGATCCTGAAGCTGAGGCTCCAATACTTTGGCTACCTCGTGAGAAGAGAAGACTCCCTGGAAAAGACCCTGATGTTGGGAAAGATGAAGGGCACAAGGAGAAGGGGACAACAGAGGGCAAGATGGTTGGACAGTGTTCTCGAAGCTACCAGCATGAGTTTGAACGGAATCTGTTCCGGAAGTCTGTTTGACTTCCAAAATGTTCGAAAACCAAACTGTTGCCAATCAGAAGCCGCGGAAGCCCCCTCGGATGTTTGGATTTGAAAAGAACGTTTGCAAACTGGAAAAATAACTTCCGGGTTTTTGGCATTCGGGAGCCAAAACATCCGAGTTCCAGGGCGTTTGGGATTCAAGGTATGACTGTATTGGGTAAACCTGAATTTAAAAAGGGAAGCGTACAGAGGTGTGTTGTTTGAGGGTAACTGTTATGTACTGAGCTGAATCAATAGGATCCAGAACGCAGCAGTCTGATTGGTCCGCAGGAGCCACCCAATCCAGCTCCAGGTGGAAGTGAATCAGCAACCTGATTGGCCTGCAGGAGCAGCCAATCAGGCTACTGGAGGAGGTGAACCCACAACCTGCTTGGCCTACAGGAGCAGACCGGAATTAGCCAATCACACGGGGCCCATTGTGTAAATAATGTATATATAGCTAGACGTTTTGGGGAAAGTTTCATTCATTGCTACTATGAGCTGAATAAACAGCATGAAATTCACTCTCGACTCCAAGTATATTTCAGTAACACTACATGGACCATGCAAATCAGTGCATTTTTTTCTAGTGGGTACAGTATCAGCACCTTCTCCCCCCCCCCCCAAAAAAAATGTTACAAGTGTGGCACTTCCTGTAACAACTTTATGGTGAGTACCGGCACATTTTTCCCTTAAAAAAAAAAAAAAAAGCACTGATGCAAATTAAATAGGAACACAAACAGCAGCAAACACAGAGTACACTCTGGTGTGGACAAGCCCACAGAGACTGATCAGGATGAAGAAGCTGACCCATGTATGGTTTAGGGTTTGGGAGAGGATGTAATCATGGTGGGGTCAACCAGGATGTTGGATGCTGAGTTAGTGAATAGGAAAACACACACACTACAGTGGTACCTTGGGTTACATACGCTTCAGGTTACAGACACCACTAACCCAGAAATATTACCTCGGGTTAAGAACTTTGCTTCAGGATAAGAACAGAAATCGTGCTCCGGCGTCGCGGTGGCAGTGGGAGGCCCCATTAGCTAAAGTGGTGCTTCAGGTTAATAACAGTTTCAGGTTAAGAATGGACCTCCGGAACGAATTAAGTTCTTAACCCGAGGTGCCACTGTATTTGCCCAAGTTCCAGCCATAAGCAACAAAAACAACCCTTGCGCTCATCCCCAGTGCTAGAACCCAGTTGATTGCACAAACATTTTCTATTCATATTTCCAGTTACATTGAGTAGCCCGGAATGACTCAGAATGCCAATAAGCTGTACATTTGCATGAATAATCCCTAATAACTTTTGAGTCATGCACAAAACTGAATGTTAAATACAGGTTTCAAGGGCTGGTACGGAGCGCAAGTGAATTGACCATGCTGAAAAGGAACACCTCCCCTAGGACTTCACATCCTCCCCACTTGACACTTCTAACACAATTACTCCAAAATTGTTCGTGCCTAACTTGTAATTGGGAGAAAATTGGAATTGATTATTTATCCACCTTGAATTACAGCTGCTTTGAGAAGAAAATGGCCGGTCCACTTCTGAGTCACTGTTTTTCACCTTGAAGGTTGGCGTTAGGATGCAAGCAGCACAGCTGAATGCTTTTTCCCCAAGAGATCTTTTGTAGAAAGGTCCACCCAAAGTAGCTGTGCTTTTCAGAACAGGGTGATGGGAAATAGAATCATAGAACTGTAGAGCTGGAAGGGGCTACAAGAGTCATCTAATCCAACCGCCTGCAATACGAGAATCTTTCACCCAAAGCAGGGCTCAAACCTACGATCCTGGGATTAAGAGTCTCATGCTCTCAGGGGTCAGCAAACCTTTTCAGCAGGGGGCTGGTCCACTGTCCCTCAGACCTTGTGGGGCGCCAGACTATATTTTGGAAGGGGAAAAAAATGAACAAATTCTTATGCCCCACAAATAACCCAGAGATGCATTTTAAATAAAAGCACACATTCTACTCATGCAAAAACACCAGCCAGGCCCCACAAATAACCCAGAGATGCATTTTATATAAAAGCACACATTCTACTCATGTAAAAACACGCAGATTCCCGGACCGTCCGTGGGCTGGATTTATTTATTTATTAATTTTTTAAAAAAAAAGGATTCATCCTTGATTATTTTATTCACATAATACACATAATACACATAATATACATTATTTACAAAATAATAAATAATAATAATAATAATAATAATATATTATTTATACCCTGCCCATCTGGCTGGGCTTCCCCAGCCACTCTGGGCGGCTTCCAAAAAAATATTAAAATACTGTAATACATCAAACATTAAAAGCTTCCCTAAACAGGGCTGCCTTCAACAACTCCAAAATAAACAGACAACCCCAAAATAAAATCATATGTAACAAAGCCATAAGTCTCATGTTTTCATTTACACTGATCTCCTCTCCGATACCTTTACTTGATATTTCTTGCTGCTTTCTGCTTTCCTTATAGAATCCTTATGAAAATTTAAATCTCTTAAATCCTATACCAATCTTTAACAGTTTCAATTAATCCCTTCACCTCCCTCCCCAACAGCCCAGTACTTCCCTCCACCTGTGTACAGGCCGGATTTAGAAGGTGATTGGGCTGGATCCGGCCCCCGGGCCTTAGTTTGCCTACCTATGCTCTACCTACTGAGTAAGTTCAGGTTTTTGGCCCAGGAATCATTGTGCTCCCCCATCATGGCAACCCTTTCAAACTTCTAAATATCATGTCCAGTTTTTCCTGTGCTGTAGGAACTGCTCTCTCTCTCTCTCTCTCTCTCTCTCTCTCTCTCTCTCTCCTTTCCTTCATCCTACAACATCTACATGCACAGGAGGTGGGGAAGTTAATTTCAAGCAGTCCTGTCATGTAAGGTAGAACACTGCTGCTGCAATGCTCTCCCAGGTGCAGAGGTGAGAGATTGCACTGTTGAGAGCAGAAGAAATGCTAGGTCAGATGGGTGCACCTACAGCCGCCAGATGTCACAGACGGGCTGGATGCAGTTGGGGAACCCGCAGGGGAAGAAAGCTCAGAGCCGAGGGATTGGTGGTGGGACGATGATGAGTGGTCAGAAGGAGAAGAGGCAGATGACAGGGAGGAGGAGGTGTCAGAAGCTGAAGAGGAAACAGGGTTTAGTGAGCAGGAAGAGGCTGCGGCAGAGAGCAGTCCAGATTCAGAGGATGGAGAGCAGGGGTCAGTGGTGGACCAACATTTTGAGGGCCCTGAAGCTTGAACTCTGCAACCAAAAATGAGGATGGAGTAACTACTGTTATCTTCTTCAGTGGGGTTGTTCCATGACAGATCACCACATTTTTTTAAAACAATTAACTACCACACCTCAGATTTTGCTTAAAATTCCTTTACAACGTTTGTGCTATTGACTCTTGCTGCGTTGTTTTTTTTTTAACAAGCGGTTGAAACTTTTTGGATAGAAGATTTTAAAAAAATGTTTCAGACTCTCATTTTAGAACATTAACCTCTGCCAAATCTAGTTCTGTTTTTGTTATGTACTGAAGTTCTCACCCTGGGCCAGCAGGGGATACTGTAGATAGTTTTCACTCAGGTCCACATATGCAAATAAGGAATTGAAAGTGATGTTCAGTGATTGGATAGTTACAGAAAGTTGTTACTGTTGCGTTGTAGTGGAGCTCTATATAAGCAGGCTGGCTGAACCCTTCAGTTCAGTTCTGCTCTGTGAATAAACAAGAGCTGTTTGAAGAATTGCTGTGTCATCTGATATGTTCACTCACAACTTAACAGTTTTTATATGGCCAGTTTATCTCTTTGGGATGGCTCTCAGCTTCCGGAGGCGGAGCCAACGGTAATGGCTGCTTCTCTCTAACTTGGAGAGAACTAGCTCTACGGAATTTGGGTCCTGTCGCTACGGCGCAGCGGGGACCCCCAAATAAATCACAGGCGGGTGAAGCCTGTGAACGTGGGACTCAGCGGGCACCGTTTGCGCCCCCCCAATTGCTAAAGGAGCTCGGCAACGGGCTCCGGAGCGGAGCGGGGTGGCGTGGTGCTGTGAGCAAATTGCTTCTTCCGTGGAGTGAAGCCGCGAAGCTGTTACCGGAGAGCTCTGCCTTTTTTCCTGGGATAATTGGCACTGAAAACAACTACCCGTGAGTAAATTGGATTTAAAGGGGGGGGGGGGATATAATTTGGCACGAGCGGGGAACGTACAAGCAGGAAGTCTACCTTCCCTGAATTGTAAATAGATCAAAGCAAAGAGACTTCAAAGCAGAAACTCGGACAGTCACTTAAATGTGCTAAATTCCAACATCTTGAAAAGGGTTCCCTCCGGATTGCAGGAGAGGAGGGGAAAAAGACTGAGCTGAATTTCCTGCAGTAAAGAAGGGGAGAGGAAGGAAGAATTTACAATTTAAGATTCAGAACGGACTGCCTTAAGATAGAGGTTTATAGTGAAAGTTTGCTCTGACAGCCAATTCTGCAAAAGTGATACAGTGTTTTCGAACCTCTTTTGGCTTAAAAGTAACTGTTTAAATGTATTGAGACTGTGGATTTCGAAAGTAAATTGGGGGATTTATAAAGACTATTTTTGTTTCTAAAAAGTTACAAGTTCTGGCTGTTACTGTGTCCCCCTAGAGGAGATTGGACATTGTTACAACAATAGTTACAAAGAGGAAATTTCCATTCTATGTCAAAACAACTGGGTGAATGTGGGAGCGACCTTGAATGTCTATGAGACTGTGATGGCAGAGGATAAGAAGGATAATAAGGCGGAACCGCAGGAAAAAATTACTAGGTCTGGCAGACATTATCGGATAGATACTGCGTTGCCGCGAAGGGGCTCAACATCTGGAGCATCAGGAGCATCAGGGGCCCCACTCCCACAGTCTAAATCAAAAGTTATGACATCAGAAGAAGTTTTGGCACAGGCTCTGGCAAAAATTAATGAATCTTTGGAAAGCCTAAGTAAACAGGTAATTGAGACAAATAGACAAGTAACAGAAACAAATAGGCAAGTAGTTGAGACAAATAGACAAGTTGTGGAAGCATCAAATAAAATTGATTTAAATACTGCAAGTATAAATACCTTGGGACAGAAGGTGAATGCCAACACAGAGACTATCGAAAAATTATTACAGGAATCTGCCTTGATTCGACAAACTGCACAGGAAGCAAAAGATATTGCAATTGCTACTCAGGAGAAAATTCCACCTGTATATAAGAAATTGGAGGACCATGATGTGACATTTTCCATGTTTGAATTGAAAGATAGACAGAGAAATCTGAGAATTAGGGCTGTTCCAGAGCGGGAGAAAGATAATCTGGCTGACTTTCTTACACAGGAATTTACAGATTTTTGGCAATTGGACCCGGGAAGGAAGAATTCAAGATAGTGAATGCATTTAGGCTTGGAAGAAGACAAGGCAAGGGCAAGGTGAGAGACTGTTTGATTACCTTTCGAACAAAAGAAGAGAGAGATAAAATTCTGAATTTGCACTATCAAAAAAACTTTGGAAATTGATGACTCAAGTCTAGTGATTTTTAAGGACATCCCAAAGCATTTGCTGGACTTAAGGTCCAATTATGGAGACCTAGTGACCTTATTGAAAAGAAACAGAATTCTTTTCAGGTGGGAATTTCCGCAAGGCCTGTCCTTTAAATATAAAGGGAGAAAGATAAAAATAAAATCAACTGAGGAAAAAGACAGATTCTTGAAAGACCACGAGGAAGATCTACTGAAAGAAGGGGAATCTGAAGAAGAACCAAAAGGCATACTAGACATATCAAATTTATCTTTTGGACTGCACGGTCCAGAAAAAGTGATACTACCCACAGAACAAGAAGCGGCACTTGGGGCAGTTGGAGGTAAAGTGAAGTAGCCCCCACCATGGCTCTGCAACTATTAAGCTGGAATTGTAACGGTTTGAATTCTCCGCGAAAAAGAAAAAGTGTGTTTCATTTATTAAAAAAAGAACAATTGGACTTGATTTGTCTACAAGAGACACATATAATAAGGGCACATAGGAAGTTATTGATTAATAAAAGATTAGGACAGGAGTTTGTCTCATCTGACAAAGTTAAAAAAGAGGAGTCGTGATTTATGCAAAGGAGAGACTTTTACCGAAATTTATCTTTAAAGATGATCAAGGAAGATTTTTGGCAATTGAAATTCAACTACAAGGAGAGAAATTCTTAATCGTGGGAATTTATGCACCGAACGAGGGGAAATCTGAATTCTATAAAAAGTTGCATGAGACTTTATTGGATCATTTGGACTATAATTTGATTCTGATGGGGGACATGAATGGAGTAGTATCTACAAATATGGACAAGGCTCAAAGACAGGTAGTCACCAAGGATGGTAGACTACCGAAAACATTTTTTGAGATGACAGACAATATGGACTTAGTGGACATCTGGAGGGTAAAGAACCCCCTGGGAAGAGAAGGAACCTTTTTTTCTGAAGCCAAGATGACATGGACTAGAATTGACCAAATATGGATAACTAGAGGAATGGCACCAAAGATAAAGAAGGTAGAAATCTGCCCAAAAACTTGTTCCGACCATAATGCTGTAAGGATGGAGATGAAACAAACAACAACCGGATCCTTCAGATGGAGGATGAATGACACCTTATTTAGAGATGAAGAAGTTTACAAAAAGGCCCAAAAGACTTTGAGAGATTATTTTGAAATAAATATGAATACCAATGTAGAAAAAAGAGTAATCTGGGACGCAAGCAAAGCTGTGATGAGAGGGTTTTTGATACAACAGAATGCAATAAAGAAGAGAAGTCAAAATGAAAAGAAAGATAAAATCTTGGAAAAAATAAAAGAAGGAGAGAAGAAATTGAGAGCAAAACCAAAGTCCCAGGAGATTTTGAGAGAAATAAAATTATATCAAGTACAATATATGGAAATGATGAATCAGGAAATAGAATGGAAAATCAAACAAATGAGACAAAAACATTTGAATCAGCTAATAAATGTGGAAAACTGTTGGCCTGGCAAATGAAAAAAAGACAAAAATTAAATACTATTATAAATTTAGAAGTGGAAGGAAAGAGTATACATAATCCAAATGAGATTAGAAATTGCTTCCAGAAGTACTTTAAACAATTATACACACAAGGGCCACAGAAGGAAATGGACATAGACCAATTTTTGAAGACAAATGGCCTACAAAAATCTCTCAAGAAAGTAAATTAATGCTGAACTATAAAATATCTGAACAGGAAGTAGAAGGTGCCATACAAAATATGCAATTGGGCAAATCTCCAGGACCGGACGGGCTGACTTCCAGATACTATAGATCTTTGAAAGAGTGGTTACTGCAACCTTTGAAGGAAGTCTGCAATGAAATACTGGAGGGGAAAAGGGCACCAGAATCGTGGAAAGAGGCGTACATCACACTTATACCGAAAACAGAGACTGAAAAGACTCAGCTTAAGAACTATCGCCCTATATCGTTACTTAATGTGGATTACAAAATTTTTGCAGACATTTTGGCCAAGAGATTGAAAAAATATTGATGAAAGAGATTCATAAAGACCAAGCGGGCTTTCTCCCGGGAAGACATCTGTCTGATAACTTGAGGAATATAATTGATATTTTGGAAAAATTAGAAGTGAATATAAACACCAAAGCAGTATTGATATTTGTTGACGCGGAGAAAGCTTTTGATAATATCTCTTGGAGTTTTATGAAGAAGAATCTGCATGGGATGGGGGTAGGCCAAGGTTTTGAAAATGGTATAGGTGCAATATACTCTGAACAAAAGGCTAAATTAATTGTAAATAATGTGGTTACGGAAGAATTTAAGATAGAAAAAGGGACACGACAGGGGTGCCCAATTTCCCACTGCTTTTTATATCGGTCCTGGAGGTTTTGCTAAATATGATTAGAAAGGACCGGTTGGTTAAGGGCATACAGGTCGGAGCTAAACAGTACAAATTGAGAGCATTTGCAGATGACCTAGTATTGACGTTACAGGAGCCAGAATCTAGTACTAAAAGAGTTTTAGAATTAATTCAGGAATTTGGTCAGGTGGCAGGTTTTAAATTGAACAAGTTAAAAACTAAGGTTTTAGAGAAAACACCGATTGAAAGAGAGAGGTTTCAGAATGAGACAGGATTGAATGTGGTAAAGAAAGTGAAATACTTGGGGATTAATATGACAGCCAAAAATGGGAACTTATTTAAAGATAATTACGAAAAATGTTGGACGGAAGTGAAAAAGATTTAGAAATTTGGTCAAATTTGAAACTCTCGTTGCTGGGCCGTATTGCTGTGATAAAGATGAATGTATTGCCTAGAATGTTGTTTTTGTTTCAGACATTACAAATTGTAGATAAGATGGACTGTTTCAAGAAGTGGCAGAGAGATATTTCTAGATTTGTCTGGCAGGGCAAGAAGCCCAGAATAAAATTTAAGATATTAACTGACGCTAAGGAAAGAGGTGGATTTGCCCTGCCAGACCTTAAACTTTATTATGAATCAGCAGCTTTTTGCTGGCTGAAAGAATGGCTACTTCTTGAAAACACAGACATTTTGGATTTAGAAGGTTTTAACAATGTATTTGGATGGCATGCATATTTATGGTATGATAAGGTCAAAGCACACAAAGCATTCAAAAATCATATTGTTAGGAAAGCATTGTTTAATGTCTGGATAAGATACAAAGACTTATTGGAAAATAAAACCCCAAGGTGGCTGTCATCAATGGAAGCAAAAGCTCTGAAAAGGCTCAATATGGAGGCCAAATGGCCGACATATTGGGAAATTTTGGAGCAAGAAGGAGATAAATTGAGACTGCAGAGTTTTGAAAAATTAAAAATAAAGTGAGAGATTGGCTCCACTACTATCAGATAATGGAGGCATATAACTTGGATAAGAAAATAGGCTTCCAAGTGGAAAAGTCAAAATTAGAAACAGAATTGTTAGAACCCAAAACTAAAAATTTGTCAAGAATGTATAACTTGCTGTTGAAATGGAATACTCAGGATGAAACGGTGAAATCTGCTATGATTAAATGGGCACAAGATGTTGGACATAACATTATGTTTGCTGACTGGGAACAGTTATGGACCACAGGTATGAAGTTTACGGCATGTAATGCCTTAAGAGAGAATATTATGAAAATGATATACAGGTGGTACATGACCCCAGTCAAGCTTGCAAAAATTTATCATTTGCCCGATAATAAATGTTGGAAATGTAAAGAAACTGAAGGTACATTCTTTCACCTTTGGTGGACGTGCCCAAAGATTAAGGCTTTCTGGGAAATGATATACAATGAACTGAAAAAGGTATTTAAATATACCTTTCTGAAGAAACCAGAGGCCTTTCTCTTGGGCATTGTCGGCCAACTGGTGCCAAAGAAGGACAGAACCTTTTTCATGTATGCTACAACAGCAGCAAGAATACTTATCGCAAAGTATTGGAAGACACAAGATCTACCCACTTTGGAAGAATGGCAGATGAAGGTGATTGACTACATGGAATTGGCGGAAATGACTGGCAGAATCCGAGACCAGGGAGAAGAGTCGGTGAAAGAAGATTGGAAAAAATTTAAGGACTATTTACAGAAATATTGTAAAATTAAGGAACTTTAGAAGGATGTTGGATAGAAATTAAGAGGTTTTTAGCTGTAATGCTTTAAGAGACATGGAAAAAAAAGGTTAACAATTGGGTAAAAGATTAATGGTAAGGATTTGCTGAACCAACAAACTGAATTGGAATACAAAGAAGGGAGGTATGAGGAGGTCTGGGGAAATAAGAGTAAGGAAGATAGGTTATGGAACATCATTGTGTTTTTAATTGTTTTATTTTGTATGTTTTTTCTTACTTTTTACTTTTTTGCTGTAATTTATACTTTTTTCTTTGTTTTCTGTATTTTTGTGAAACTTTAATAAATATCATTTAAAAAAAAAAAAAGGGATGGCTCTGTTTTTAATTGCTGCAAAAAGTTCCAACTGCATTGGAAGGCTGGGGTGTAAGTTTTCTGAGCTAACAAAAATGGATCCTTGTTACAGGAAGCCAAATATTTCTAAGAATCCTTAAAACAGCGGAGGAGTGCAGTGAAGAAATCATTGGGCAGTTGCTGAAGAATGTCATGTGCCTTATTTGGAGCACCTAGATTGTTTGCAGGCAGTCAAAGTGAGCTTAAATTAAACCAGCGAGAGAGTTCAATATTGGTCCTGGCTGCTACTACACCAGGTGCCAGCTGAAAAGTATCTCAAAATGCTGTCGGCAACAACAGCAGATTGGCAACCGTGAAGGGAACTAGATGGGGGACTCGTCAGTCTTGCTTCATTAAATAAATAAATAATGGTTGATTGTTTTTATTTGGCGCATATGCCGCCTTGCAATAATTGCTTGGACAACATGGCTAAGCTGTCGTGATGTCTGTTCCGGTGGGAGCTCATTAGTGATGGGTTAGTCGCTCAATGACTGCCTTCGGATATTTTGTTTAGAAACTTTTGATTTTTGAAAAAGAACGCTTTCCCAAAGAACTGCTGCTTAAATTTCTGTCTTATCATGCAGAAACCAGAAGGAGGGAGGGGCGGGAGAGTGCCGCCTTTTTGTGAATGAAAGATGATTTTTTGTGAATGAGTTCTGCAAATGGAAAATGATCACCTTTCTCTTTGTGTCCCTGCTATGCAGCTAAAGGCAGCTAAAGATCTTTTATCCCAGGTTTTCCTTGACCCATAAGATTGTACCCTGTTATTACTAAATTGGTATCTGTTTGCATCACACTGTTTTACTGGGTTTTGTTCTAATAGTCAAATAAAGCATAATCTACAAAAAAATAAAATTAAATCTTGCATCCTGTTTCATACATTTACCACCAGATACTTGCTACACATGAATGTGACTGTACCGTACTTTTCCGTCTATAAGACGCCCCCATGTATAAGACATGTCCTATTTTGGGGAACTCAAATTTAAGAAAATGGGGGGAGATGGCACAGAGTTGTTGAGGGTTTTTTTTGCAGAGGATTGGCCAGGGTTGTTGAACTTTCTTTACGGGGGATTGCCGAAAATCGCTCACCCGCATGTGTCGCTAAATCCGCCTCCCATCTGTCCCTTTGCCAATTGCCCGCACGCATCAGCCAATCAACACCACCCATTGATGCAGCAACCAATAACATGCACAATAGCCGCTGGCAGTCTCGGCAGCAACCAATCAAATGCCCACTCTATGTACTACCCATGTATAAGACGACCCCCACTTTTTAGCATGATTTTTAATGAAAGAACCATAGTCTTATACATGGAAAAGTACGGTATTTATGTAAAGGTTCAAAGTTTTCTCCCCTCCCCATGGAAAATACCTTCCCTGCAGATGTTTTGTAATATAGCAAGTGACTCTGGCTATTTCATACTATTACATGCAACCCCAAATCTCCAAGTAGTATGAAATACCGGGAGTACCAGGAGCACTTGAACCCAGGGTCTGTGTTTCCTTTTGGATAGTGAGGGGCAGCGAAGACTGTGGTGTTTTTGGCTTATTTACACATAAGTCTACCATGGAGAGATTTCTACCATCATATTCCAAAAAGCTCCGGCTTCTCCCATAGCCAAAGCACTAGATTCAAACCAGACATCAGCATTCTGCTTTGTCTCTACCCCACTGCTGAGCAACTTTGTTCCTTAACTCCTGAATGTTGTTCTAAACCAGGCTTCCTCAACCTCAGCCCTCCAGATGTTTTTGGCCTACAACTCCCATGATCCCTAGCTAGCAGGACCAGTGGACAGGGATGATAGGAATTGTAGTCTCAAAACATCTGGAGGGC